CAAGTTACTAGATTAGCCTCATTATTAGGTTAGCCTCAAGCTGTCTGGACAGATCTAAATGCAGTAGCTGCCGCTAGGCGTCACTTTGGGCCTAACCCGCCTCGCGGCTGGACGTGCGCTCGGATAGTCAAATCTCGTACAAACTATTCTCCTTTCCGTCTGTACAGAATACACCCTTCCTACGATTCTGCCTTTCCCATGACTTCTCTCATTTCCTAAGGAACCAGGCCTAGAAGATGGCAGCCGTTAGGGTTAACTAACGTAGCCTTAACACTACACGATAGTATTACAGTGGAATTAACAGTATTAATAATGATGACACTAGTTGTATTATTATGAGTGGTATTACTAGACATAAGAAAATAATAGCAAAAATCCTAAAAAAAAATTACCTAAGCAACAGAAAAACAAAACTATCAAGCTCTATTACAGGGAAGGTAAATGGGACCCTGCGACGGGGAGTGCTTGATACTCACCCAGGGCTGTCTTTTCAAAGAAATCTGTGGCTACAGGCAGTGTGCAGAGCCCGACCGTAATACGAACGCCGAACATGCGGTAGTCATGGCACATAACGGTGATTGGAGGCCAGTACTGGTCGTCCAGGGGGAGGTTCTGCGAGAAGGAAGAAAACCGTCCTCAAAAAATTGGGAGAATATCCGAAACGAAGATGGAGGGGAGGGGGAGGCGGATGAGTTGAGCACAATATCGAAGCAGACAAGTTGACACCGACTGGAGTAAATGGTAGTTGTAATGATCTAAATCAAGCATTCATTGAAACCCTTTTTCTGAGAGCACGGGTTGCAAGTGGCAGGGGAACTTACCAGATCAATGAATTTTAGGTGGTGTTCGAAGAGGGGATTGACCTTGGCATTTTGCATTAAGTCGGAGACAACCCGTGTGCCTCCAACCTCCACAGTAATGACCGGTCGGTTGACAGGAAGAAGGAATTGGCGACGAAGTTCGCGAACACCCCAAAAGACCTGAAATTTTTCAAAAGTAGGCAGTGGAAATTGTTAAATCTGCACTCAAACGAATGATATAAAATGCGGATACGGTTTAGCATACCACGCTTAACCGTCATTTATGGGCTGTTGGTTAGGTACTGTCAAAAAGTGATAGGTAGGCGGTGCTATACAAGTACATACGTTGAAGGTTTATATCTCAGTCATTTTGAATAAAATTTCTTCTCAGACTCTTGAACTGTGCGAAACAGTTATTTGGAGTATTTTTAATGTTCTTTAGTCATTTCTGCCAGGTGCCATGTAGGCTTTGAATACCGCCGACCACGAATCTTGCCTCAGGCTGCCATAGTTCAAATCAAAACCGAACTTCGATTCCATCGTGTAAGTAACAAAAAGGATAAGAATTATGAAACCACAGATCGGACTTGAAAGCATGGTGGCTTATGGGGAAGGTAAAAGAAAACGAAGAGAGAGGTTGGTAGGGAGAGAGGTGACGAGGAGCAAGCTTTCTGGGTATCCCGACGTCCTGGTATGGAGAGCTGAGCTAACGACCTCTCATGGTGGTGTCGCAACAGTAGGATCGCCCCCACCTCGCCGCTACACACAATTTTCCACCGATGTGCATCTACCGGCTATCATAAAGCTGTTGGCTGAACGATCAAGGAACCAGGCCTTCACGGTAGCTGCCCTCGTTGCACTAGTTAAACCGCTGAGGAGACTATTAATTTGCATGCTATTAATAAAAAAGCTGACAGCCCAACTTGGTCTGTCTGATTTCAGATCTGATAACGATCATTTGTTGACAATTTTAGCTGGACCTACCAACAGAGGCTATGTGGCTGTCCGCAACCGAGTTACGCTGAATTTCCTGTCCATCTCACGTTCGTTGCCTTTTCACCTCTGGGATCAACAGAGACTTGGTACAACTCTCGCGAGAAGTCGGGGCCAGTAAATGTTGCCTCGTTTGCTGATTGGCTGCTGGTAAAGAAGGCACCTAGACGCGTTGGGGACTAGAAATCTCAACGGCGGATGTGCACGGACACTTGGCCGAAGAAGCGGCTTGTGTCAACTGCACGCCATTTCTCTCAGTGGAAGTTGGTTCAATCCAATCTGACTACCCTGGCTTCTGATTTGTCCCATCGTATTCAGCCAGCGGCATTCTTGTGCAAGGCGAAAACTGGTTCCATATTTGCATTATGTATCTGCCAGGCTGCGTGTTCACGATGTATATGCGTCAAAAACTAGAAATAGGCTTTTGACCTCGTGTCAACCACGGTTCCAAGTGTGCTTGAATCAAACTTGCAGCTGATGGATGATGATGACAGAAGGGGGAATAAACAGTAAACTCGATCCAGAACGTACCTTACTCGCTGCAAAAGGCCTGGAAGGTTTTATTCGGTCACTGCTCATAAAAATTCATTGGCCGAAGACATTCTCCCTACTAAACAATATTGTCCTCTACAGAACTGAGGTTAAGACTACAGTGGCTCCTTATTATTGTGGCCTTTTACCAAGTGACTTCAGCGCGGGATCTAAAACATTCTTGTTTCGAGGATAAGTCTTGTGCATATGACGCTGATTCAGCTACAGCGACCGCAGCAACTTTACTCTTCATGTGGGAAGGAAGAGTGAAATAGACTGCAGGTCAGTCTCTACCATGGACCCGAGGGCGCAATGACGATCCCTAGAGTTTGCTATGGACTATCCAAAAGATCCTCATTTTATGGCATCAGAGCGTCCTCCACTTTCAAGCTTGCCAGTAAGCAAAACGGTTTTTCAATCCAATAAACGGAGATGTAAAAATCCACACAGGGACAGGTAACGGTACGGAAGTTTAATGTCCTTATAATAGAAACTAAAAAAACTTAGCTTATTATTCATAAAGTCGGCTGGACTTTTTCACTGGAGCTGACCGAAGTAAATAGATTATGAATTTTATTGGAGTCCGTTGTCTTATTATTAATCCGAAAACGAAAAAAAGAACAACCTTTAGAATTCCACTTGCCGATGAGGACTTGTACTATTAATCACTGTTTTTATCTTTCCTATAAAACATAACTCGAACATGACGAAAAATATTCGCATGCCGCGATGAGTTCAAATTTACATAAACGTATTCCTAGAGAGTAGCATTTTAAATAGCGCACATGCTGTGAAAGAATTTATCAGTCCTTGTACATGGGGTGAGAATCAAGTTGTTTCCCTTCTAGCCGATGAAATATGTAAATCAAAGTCTGTGATAAAAGGATAAAAGAATAATAAATATAAGAGTACATGAATGCTGCCCCTGAGTCTTAGAAGTGGTCAGCTTAAACGTTTGGGAGACGTTGTTAAGAAATCTTAATTACACAGTAGATTTCCTATCATATGAAATTTCAACCGAAAGTCTGAGTATGTTTACGATTCTAACAAATTACTAAAGTAGGGCTGTAATATTAACTATCGTTTAACTTCATTTCAAGATACTTCAGCCCCATCAGGAGGTCGGCTCTTGCACGTGCTTATATCTCACCGCCTGCAATAGGGGCTAATTAAATAGTATGCATTCTATTC